TAACACTCAGCAAACAATAGAGAATATCAAAGAGGATCTCAAGGATGAGGTTAATGAAGTTGATGAATTAAATGAGCCAATGCAGCCAAAGAAGGCCCTGGACCTATGCAAATGCATGGAAAATGTCTGTGCTGATTATTCTGATGCTGATGATGTATCACTGCTCAAGATGCAGATACAACTGCCAAGGCTGTGGGCACATATTTGCCATCTTGATGATAGATCTTGTGGCCAGATGACTCTTGATCAGTAGTTTAATTTGTTGAGTACAAAGATGTATTAATATCCTAAAATGCATTATGATGGTATAGAACTTTCGAACATTTGATGAAGTTGGTTGGTGAGACAATATGTCACAAAGTGTGACTTACAGTATATGTCACTGTATAAGATCTCATCATGCATAAGTCAGGTGAGGAACTAGCATTATGTATTATGAGAATGTTAACTGTACTTATAACCAATAGATGTGTCTGTATATAGAACCAGGAGTCATGTAAATTGTAATACTGCAGACATCCCAAACTGTTCCCAGCCTCACTGACCATCTTGTTCCCAACTTCAACACTACTATAATGGCTTTAACCTGAATTCCTGGTTCTTCTTGTGGCCATGAGATATAAACCTCTGATACTGCTTGGCATCATGAAGAAAGATGTTTCTCATGCTGAGTTTGTATTCTTTTCAGTATGTCATATAGCTATTCAAGTTGGTGATGAGCCTGAGGAGGTATCTAACAAAGTCATCCACCTTATAGCTATAGACAATATTTCATTTTTCATGCTTGTCAGCCTGTCTGATGGGCTGCTAGTGCAGTGGATGATTGTGATTAGATATGTTGAGGACTGGAGTCTGGATGAGTCATTATTCAGCACAATCTATCACATCATGACCATTCATGACTGGACCATTATTATGCATGATATGGGACCCATACCACAATATACATAAACAGGAAGTGATCACAGGGAGTATACTAAGGTATACCCCATTATATTACAAGCTTGATTTCATTTCAACAGATTTACTTGTACTTCTATTTCCAGTATGAAAATTTTCATTATTTTCTTTCTTTTTCTTTTCTTTTTCTAAGGCTCATTTAGCCACTAGTTTCCTCAGTGAGCCACCAAGATATGTTAATAAGCATGTCATGCGACTGGCAATATTCTGATTTGTAAAGATTTATCATGTTTTATCATATTTTATAATATTATTCACTATATATGTGAACTACCTTGTAAGCAGCTAATTCAGCACTGCCAAACATAGTTAGTAAGCCATTAACTTACTAATCTGTGATAAGTCATGCTTATTAAGATGGCCTCCAAAAAGGTATAAAAGGAGCCCATTTTGCACTAAGTAATCAGACTTCTCACTTTCCACTCTTTTCTCAAACTATGAGGCCCAGTAAGATTTAGAAAGTGCAAGCCAAAAAGGTTATCTTGAAGTAAGGCTTAAGATATTCCAACCACTTGTTGTATATTACATAGAAGAGAGATTGACTATATAACACTAAAACAGCTTTCATATATAGCTTTGCATATTTAAGACAGATTCTCCAAGTTTCTTTATAGAGAAGAGAGACATGAGAACATGACCTACTAGGGTAAAACATACCTAACAGCACACTCAGAATCTTCAGTCCAGAGCAGAGAAAAGCAAAAAGAGGACAATATAAGTAAAACCTCCTAATAATTCACAAGTTATCTACCATGAAAACTAGAAAAATTGTAGACCATATACTTAAGGACTAGCAAGAAGTCTTATCCTTGTATGGTTATGTTGTCATTGTACACTAGTTCTATATAAGACCCTTAAGTAGCAAGACACCATGCAGGTTACAGGTTTACTTTAGGTAGTACTGGTATATAGAGGTCAACCATTTGCTCCATCTAAATTCATGAATCAGGACTATATTAGCAATTACAATGTGCAAGGTGATGTACTTCATGTCAGTTGGACATCACCAAGTTTTGGATAGCAACTTGAATGCCTTTATTCCTGAAGAGCTCAGTGGGCTGCAATGTAATAGTGACTGGTAGACTCTCAAGAGTGAAATTTATTCTCAAGATTGCACTGTCTTGATTATTCATCTAGGAAAGCTAGTAGAATGATATTCCCTACAAGATATGATTCTTAGTTCCTGAATGTATTTCTCTGTGACTTTAGTTTGAGTCTTTGAACATTTGTGCAAGACTTTCCATAGGACCCCATGCCATAGTCAATGCATGGTTTATTTTCTCTCATTCAATCAGGCAGTAAATAAATGTTAACACAAGGAACTTTTTAGCTGGTGTGAAGGTTTCTTCTCTAGCCAGCATGCCTTGGAATGGTGCTTTATGGCTTTACCTGCTGGAAATGCCACTATTTAAAAGGTCTTCTTGCTTATATCAAATTAAAAGCTCACAAGAAGGAAATTCAACCCAAGGACTCTTAGGCAACTATTGCACACATCCCACAGAGCCACAAAATTCCTGAAGGCCTTCACTATTTTTGTCATTCAATGGAACTACCTGATGCCATTCTAGGGCATATCCCTACTCTTGCATGTGAGTGTTCCTAGTGTCCTTGGTGAATTTGAGGTGCTGACCTTCTCACTCCCAAGGGCAAGTGCAGGTATTTATTGTTGTACTTTAAAGAGAAGCATGGTGACCTGACAATACCTGATGTGTCAGTATTCAAGGAGGATCATATTATATATCCTTACTAGTGGGTTTCAAGTAGCTACTAAGATCCCACCAATCTACTAGGAGAAATGGTATTTGGTGTGCACCTCTTACCTTATTAAGTGGTGCAAGGCCAACAATGAAGCTTGGATTAAGCTATTCTCTAATTCAGCTAAAGATGCAAAGGATGAGGGTCAGCCATGACAGCAGACGTCTATCTGAAAGCAAATTTATATCCAGCAGCTGGCAACTGTGATGTGTACTAATGATGAAGATCCAACCATTTGCACACTACTATATGAAGAACACCCACTGAGCTTCATCAAACCTGTTGAAAATCAGTTTATCTCATATGTCTGCTCTTACTTGGTTCTGGATCTAGTAGCATGATGAACCAAATCATTTAGGCTTCAAAAAAAAGCACAACTCTGTTAACAAAGACCTTGACCAAACAAGGGCTGGACTCAAGTCTATCAAGAAGCTGGACACTGACCCTTACACTAAAATCATGTTGGTATGTGCATTTTTTCTTTATTTATTAACAAAGTCCTGAGATCTAGCACTAGCTCAGCTTTTTCCGCAATTTCCACAGCGGTCTGACCCCCATGGATGGTGAAGGACAAACTCATCCTACAATATAGCATTTTTAATAGTAGATTCTGGTCAAGATTCTGCCAGTGAGGCACTTGAATTTCCTACTGGCACTTCACAGGATGAAGACAATACTGGCACTGAGATGGACCTTGATAATAATGATCTGAAGCCAGGAGAAATCCCAAATCAGCCACTTGGTCTCTCAGGGGGGAACCTGAATATTCTCTAGTGCTTTCTGGACCTTCTTATCCACCAATTGAAAGTGACAATGACCTCTACATTGACTCTAGCACTTTGAACAAGTCCTCATTTTTGCAGGATTGTACTCCTCCTTGTATTTCATTACCACCAATATCGGTCACAGATTTATCATTATTGGATTCATTACATTTGACAACATTACCCTTGCTCTTCCCCAAATATTCACCTCAACCACTACAGACATTCAACCACAGCTCAACCAATCAACTACAGCTCAACCAATCAACCAATCAACCCTGATCATTCTCTGGATATATCACTGGACTCGCTACTGAGAAATATTACTTGGTTTCATTCACACACAGTAGTATCACCAGACTCTCTACCTTGATATGCTAACAAGGATAACTTCTTCACTGACATGGAGTACCAACCTAAGTCTTCTGGTGACAAGGAGATTGAGAATGTGATAAAGTCACTGACAGTGCACTCTTGTAAAGCTAGTAGTAGTGCCCTATGTGGTTGAAATCCAGTAACCTCTACTCATTGCAGTGTAGGTCCATGATCATCTGAGGCTATTTCCCATTTAATGTCAGAGTCTTGCAAGCAGCTACATGATATAGGAGCAGAGGTTACAAAGAAGTTGGTTGGTGCCCCTGACTCACTCTTACTTCACATGCAGGATAAATCAGATTCCAGAGCCTTGAGTAAGTGGATAAAGTTTGAGTATGCTAGGTTTTTGCAGGAGCTAAAGGCCCATGGAGCTCATGCTAAGTGTGAACATGATGTACACAGATTCATTGCTACTCACAGTCATGAATGTACCATGTCTGAGGACAAAACAAGGCAATTGGAGCTGGAAATCAGACTCAAAGAATCCAAGAATTGTTGCTTAGCAATAGAACATTTCAGTCAGGTTGATACTGATGATGACTTGGAGGCCAATTGATTTTGTGCTTTTTCATGTCTATACCTGTGTTTGTTTGCATCCTCAATACTCACAGTTCTTGCTAATCATATTTTGTCACTCTATGACAAAGCAAGGCATGAGTGTAGCCTTAGAGTTTGGTCTTTGGATGGGTGAAAAAAGCTGTTGGCTCTTGTTTCCACTCACCCACTAGTAAAGTCATTCATGAGTTTGTTATTGAGCTCCTTTCTTTTCTTTTCCTTCTTTAAAAAATTTCTCTACCCTCCCTTGCATAAACTACTTATTCTATTAAAGATTTCTAATATCCATTTTCCAGCTATCTAATATGGCACATATTGCATCAAACCTGGCTTTGAATATTGAATTTGACTTTGCATCCATAACCTTCGAAGGAATAAGGAATTGTATCATTGGAAACACTCAGATGACTCATGATGAAGCTGTCAATGAGCTCATTACAGGCTGGTAACAAGACAAAGACATTTATCTGGAAGCCTGGACCCTTCAGGTAAACAAAGAAACTCATTTAGCAGCAAAACATTGAATAGGAACACTTTTACCAAGAATGTCTTTTTATAGAGCAGGAAACTGAGAATGAGCATTGAGACTTGGAGAAGAAGCCAAAAATCAACAACTTCAAGATAGGGACATCTGTCAGTGACATCCTTACTCACCATCCATCCCAATATGCCATCCACAAGCTCAAGTCCTTTGAATATATTGAGTTGTGGTATTTCAACCCAGATGGCTGCAAAGACATGGCTGATGAGGTCAAGTTATCAGCAGATGGCACCTTTGGATTCACCAAAGTCAATGATTTCATTGCATTAAAGGTAGTTGGTACTTTCAAACCATCCTACAAAGTAATTCAAGACCACAGTCTCAAATGGAGGCAGTTTAACATGGCAAAGAACAGCTTTTTGCTGTAAATCAACAAGCTGAACTGGCTGGAAAAGCACCAATGCATCCTCACCATGTTCTTCATGAAAATCATTTTCTACCTGCAACATTCTGAGCCATTTGGTGAATGAGCCTTACTCCTTTATGCTACCTGTGTCTGTTGAGACTGGCATGACACTCCAACCCTTGAAAATGCATTCAATGTCAGTATCTTCAATATCATGCTAATAAAGAACCTAGCTGAAGAAGTTTGGAACAAGACCTACCTTGAGAGCTTAACAAAAATTTGTTTATTTTCCTCAAACAATGTTGGCAAATGCTAACCACTTTTGTTTCTTTTCTATTTTTCAAATCTACCACTACTATGCTTCCTTTTATGCTTTCACTTCTGTGACTATGCCCTGCTCCTATTCACTGCTCCCTCACATACTTTTCCATTGCTTTCTGCTTACCTCTACCTGATCTCACTTCCAAAAACCTATATCTCCTGCTTTCTAGCTCCAGCTAGTGCTGTCATTGAGCCAGTAGCTCAAAGAGTCCCAAAACTCCTCCCAGTGTAACATACCTCAAAACATTGTCATATGCCATTCCAGACTCTCAACTCTAAATCCACTTCTCTGGATATCTGGATCTGAGATCTGGATCTCCAATGATCTGATCTATCTTTATCTTCCTTCTGGAATCCAAACCCTATATCAGCACCCAACCCCATTTAGACTTCCCCTGCCTCTGGACTCTGGTTAACTATGCTTCCCTTCTGATTATTGATCCATTACATACATTTCATTTCTGGTGTTCATTATTTGTGATCCATCCTACTTACTAATAGACTTTGCATATGCTTCATACATAGCCTTTGTTAAGGTTGCATGCTCAAGGGGGTCAGATCACAAGGGCTTGGCCTCAGCTCATACACTGTGCCCCTTTCCTGAGTATGTGCCCTTAATTTCCGGGGGCTAGAACAGTTGTCTGGAGTTTCCAGGATTTAACTAGGGCAGATAATGGATGTCCGGATCTTACCTGGGCAAGCAGATAAGACTAATCCGGATGAAGTCTGGACTAGAAACTAACAGAGGATGGACTACCCTTAAGGTAGAGTCAGAAATGTAGTCTAGGATGCAATCCTAAGACTTGGAATGTGACAAGAGACTTATCTCGAGTCCGGAGGACACAGGAATGAGCAGGAACTAAGATGATATTCGAACTGGAGTATTTCTGAGAGTTACAAGAGGTTTATATACTGTAGGTATCATATAGGAATCAGTCAGCAAACATAAAGGCTATGTACGAAGCATATGCAGAGTCTATTAGTAAGTAGGACAGATCACAAATAATGAACACCAGAAATGAAATGTATGTAATGGATCAATAATCAAAAGGAAAACATGGTTAACTGGAGTCTGGAGACAGGGGCAGTCTAAATGGGGTTGGGCGCTGATATAGGGTTTGGATTCCGGAAGGGAGATAAAGATAGATCAGATCATTTAAGATCCGGATATCCGGAGAAGCAGATTTAGAGTTGAGAGTCCAGAATGGCATATGACAGCCTTTATGTTTGCTGACTGATTCCTATATGATACCTACAGTATATAAACCTCCTGTAACTCTCAGAAATACTCCAGTTCAAATATCATCTTAGTTCCTGCTCATTCCTATGTCCTCTGGACTCAGGCCAAGTCTCTTGTTATATTCTGAGTCTTAGGATTGTATCCTAGACTATATCTCCAGCTCTACCTTAGGGTAGTCTATCCTCTGTTAGTTTCTAGTCTGGACTTTGTCCAGATTAGTCTTATCCACTTATCCAGGTAACATCTGGACATCCATTGGATTTATCTCATGTTTCAGATCCAGATGTCTGTTGTCTGCCCTAGTCAAATCCCAGAAACTCCAGATGACTGTTCTAGCCCCCAGAAATTAAGGGCACATACTTGGGAAAGGGGCACAGCATACAAGCTGAGGCCAAGCCCTTGTGATCTGACCCCCTTGAGCATACAACCTTAACAAACATGATCTATCCAATACCCTCTTGTTCATGCTTACCAATATGTAACTCTTCCAGGTGCTTGCCACTCTATGCTTTGTCACCAAACCACCAAGAGTCAAAAAAAACTGCACAAGACAAGCAGTCTTTTCAGAATAGCATGGCACCATCTAGCCACCATGCTTACACCCTCTGCCTTGGCTGATTTGCCTATAATATCCACAGATACAAGACTAAGTTCCTATGGGACAACAAGACTCCCACTTCCTGGTGAAGGAATTTAGAAGGCCATCTTATCAATACCCAAGGTCTACAGCTTTGCTACAACTGGCAGCAGGGACCACATATATGAGTGCCCTAGCTGCAGAAGCATAGATCACAAAGCTCAGAAGTGTCCTTGGGGCCAGGAAATTTAGTGTGCTCACACTATATCATGCCAATGCAGGGAATCTTTTACTTAATAAATCCTGTCTCATACTCACATAACCACACATACCTCATTCATTACATTTCAGTTTCACTGGCAGCATTCTCCCTATTACATCTACATATACTCCACCTAATAGTCCATCTATTAATAAATATGCTGATGCCTTTGGTATAATCCTCAAATGAGAGTTCAACTCTGGAAGATACCTGGGCCCCCTCTCACAGGCCAAGGTGGAGACACTCATTAGACTGTTCCTATTAAGAACCATTGTAGAGACCCCATTCTCTTCAGCCATATAACAGGTGTATTTTCATGATTTTGCCTCTGCACTGAGGCCCTCCAAGATGGGTGATATACACACAACATTCATGATATCATGTGCTTTAGCATACTTTTGCATCCTCATTGCTAACCATCTGCATGTTATGTCCTCATCCTCCAAGGTCCATTGGTGCATGTTTCATCTATTTTTACTCCAATCACATATCACAGAGCTGCATATGGTACACAATAACTCATTGTTTTGTTATTTTTACTTGGTTACATCACTTATGATATTCACTAGTACTTATTCGCTTCTGAAGCCTGGGAATGTGCTTACAAGGTGTTACATGTCTCTGGGTAAATCTTTAGTCACTTACTTCCCTTCCATGAGTATCTCTTAGAGTAGCAGCTAGTAGTTGAATTGACAATCGCCTTTGTTGACTTTCACACTTGAGCTCCTAAAAGATCACCTTATCTCCATCATCTCCCGCCAATCCAAAGTAAAGATCAGTATTGCTTGCTTTGAGATCTAGAGCCTAGTCCCATCCAGCCATGAAGCATGCATTTTGCATATCTGGCATGCATTTTTGCATACCTGTCACATCCAGCATGCTTTGGCACCTACCATTGCACTTCATACTCTCATGCTCCACCAGGTCCTCTATCAAAAGCTAGTTCTTGGCATTCCCTCTCAAATCTTTAGAGGAATCCTTTCTTAGTGGCAATCCCCTTGGGTTGAGTTTGACTTGTCCAGAGAAGCTCTGAAGAGTTTTTGTCTCTAGTTTCCTCCCATTATCCCATCCAAATTCCTTGCCTTCACTGTGCTCAAGGGAGAGAGAGACTGATTAAGAGGGGCTTGGCTTCAGCTCGTATGCTGTGCCTCTTACCTGAGTATGTGTGCTTCATTTCAGATGAAGTCCAATGATAGTCCATTGAAGTCTGAAGGACTTCCAGAGGCTGGCTACTCTGGTAGAGTGCAGGAGGACTTCTGTAGAAGCACAGTGTGGATAACATAACTTGGCTAAATAGTTATTAGAATACCTGACCAATATATGTCTACTAGTCCTGTCTAGCTGCTATACTTGCAAGCAAGAATGTTCAACTTGAGGGATCTGCTGTCTAGTCAAGTTCAATAATCAGTACTATGCAAAGTGGTCAAAAGTCCGAAGGTTAGGGATCAAGTCTGAAGGTATGGGGCAAAGTCCAATGCATGGGAAATTGGGTCTGCAGGTGTGGAGATGTGGAGATGGCAGGAGAGTAAGAGAAGGGAAGGGAAAGCATCAGGACTAGCTTGGAGATATTAAGGAAACAGGTAACAGTAATGTTAGATCAAGGGGACCAGGTCAACAGGTATATTGGCAAAGGGTAACTCAAAGGACAGGTATTGGTGACCAGTATTAGGGATTTCTCCCTCTTACTAAGTAGTTATTGTAATTCTGGTCGCCCAACCCTATATAACTAACTATATGAAAGTCCAGAGTCCATAGGCAAAAGTAGTAGCAAAAACACAGGTCCAATAATATGTAGGTAAAAATCCATGAGGTACTGTGGCCAGTGGGAATCCATGTAATAACACTGTCTACTTGATCAGTAATAAGAAATAACTGACTATGCACCAGTGGGGTTAAGCAGGACTGGACTGGACATGGTAGGACAAGTGCACAGGATCTTCAAGCAGGTCTGATGCATCAGAGATGGGTAGGAGATGTGCAGACTGGATGGGGGTTGCAGAATAGGGTTCTAACAGGCCAGCCTGAACATGATCATCACAATGAGAAACATCCAGAGGAGCATGGGAGAGTTCCAGAGGAGTACAGGAAATTCTTGGAGGAGTTCTCACTGCACAGGAAGTGAAGAGACCCAAGGTAATGCCTCTAGAGGAAACAGGATGGAAGGATAGGAGGTCAGGAGGTCAGGACATCCAGAAGGAATAGGGGCTATATTGGACAAAGTCCAATGTAGAAGCAAACAGAGGTAGACTACCCTTAGGTAGTGTTAAAGAGACAGGAAATGGACCAAAGTCTGGAGAGAGGGTAAGTGCCAGAAAGGCAAGGCTCCAGCCTAGGGAAGCAATCTCTAGACTTGGGACAGGGGCATAAGGGACAAATCTGAAGGTCCAGATTTCCAGCCTAGGAAATCCATCCCTAGGCCTTATGGAAAAGAATAAGACTCAGATAGACTGAAGTCCAGAAGATGCAAGAGCAATTCCAAGATGTGAGGATGGATCTAAGATATGAGAGCAGGAACTAAAATGATATTCAGGCTGAGGACTCTACTAAAGTTATACAGGGGTTATATACTAGAGGATATCTGAGAGGATCAGTAAGCAAAGGAGTAAGGTTATGTATGAGCAT